TTTTTTTTTTTTTCACACTAATGATGCAGAAAAGCACTATCATTTGAATCAGACAAGAATAAGCAGTGCAACTTAGCCATATGCTTAATGCACTTGAACAAGCTGAGTGAAGCTCGATTTTTGCTCCAAGCAATTCGGGTCTCGTCCGAAAATGGAAGTAATTGTATGGATGAATCATACGCTAAGTCATACGAACGTGCCTCTCAAATGCTGGTCGAGTTCGAGTCTCAGCAAGAAGGGTATGCAAATAATAAAACAAAGCCCTTTTGTGGTGATAATACAAAGATCGATGGTTTTCAGCCAACTGTGGACAAAATGAATAGACGGGCCTTCACTGAATTTCCATACGAGAAAAGGGCTGATTTTGATTGGAGGAGAAAGAACAATAAACAACAACTCCATACGGGCCAAGAAGCTTTCAAGAAGGCTTATTATGATGAATCTCCTTTTATGAGCCGGGTTATCCCGAAAGTTCCATTTACACAGCCCAGGCTGAACCCGAGCGAGACTTCTTGTCGTAAATTGTCATTTGGCTCGTTTACGGGTGGTGAGAAAGGTATGAATTTTCATATGCCATCCAATTTGGCCTATTCGGACACTACAGAGAATGAAAAGAAGGACCGGAAAATGAGTTGGGCTGATATGGTTGAGGAAGAAGAAGAGAAAAAGTTTGGAAAAAAGTGGAGAAATGACGAAAATCGGGACTCGAACATTATCATCCTTGAGACTCCTAATAGTCGAATGCTCGATCAAGCTGAAAGATTAAGTCAGGATTTGAAGAAGATGGTTGATATTGGTAGTGGATATCTCACTCAACCGAGTAGTAAAGCTGCCACGAACCAAACCGTGAGGCGTTCGTTGTGTTTCGATCAGAATCTTCAGCTGGGAACAGAGAATAATAACAACAATTCTTCACCCTTGTCGACGAAAGTTTTGAGCTTTGAAGGTAATGATGATGACTTGATGTTATTATCACCGGAAATTGGTTCAGATAAATCGATCAAAAGGAGGAACAGGTTGCAGGTTTTCCAGGATATAACCATGCAGAAAGACTAGTAAACCAAAAAAAAAAAAAAAGGAAACTTTCAATCTGTATTAGACAGGTGAATTGTGTTGATAGATACATGAATTCATTTTTATTTTTATTTTATTTTGTGGTTACCATTTTCTCTTGTATTTTCAGCAGCAAATCTTGTTTATGGGTTGTGTATACATACATATATTCCAACGTTGAAACTTAGAAAGTTCCTTTGCCTTGCTATCGGTCTGAGGGCTACAATTTTTCAGTTATTGGGCTATACAAACTCTCAAGAAGAGATAATATGGGCCGTGTCAATAAATAATGGGCCTAGACCATGATGCTTACACTTCAGGTATTGGGCTAACATGAGAAACATTGTGACCCACGCCGAGTATCAAAATTCAAAACACACATGATTTTAGAAACAGACAGACACGTGGTTGGCATGGCATGGCTTTGAAAATTTGAAAAAGCTTTTGCGTCCTTCTTAGGTGTCTCCAATGGTTAGCTATTTGGCTAGCTATTATGACGTGGACAGGGGAAAAGTAAGAGAGAGTAGTCACTAGCTACTAACAAATAGCTTATCTATTTCACGTAGCCCAATATTATGTGAGAGGAGTATGTGGGTCCAATAGTGTAAAATAGTTATTTTTTCTTATCTCTCACATCCATGTCAGCTGACTATATAGCTAGTAATAGCTATTACCATTGGAGATGCCCTTACTCCCTCTGTTTTTTTGCTCCACTAAAGAAGACACTAATGATAATGAAATATAATTTGTAAGTCTTGTTAAGTAAAAAGAAAAACGAAAAATGTGCCACAAAAGAGCACGCGCGCTGCCGTGTGTCTATGTGGGGTTGTCTCAAAACCTCTCGGTTCTTAGTCCTTACTCGTATTATTTTCCCATGTTTTCTAAAAAGAATGTGAAATTAAGTTAATGTCCATTGTGAATTATATATTTTTTAAGAAAGGGTAAATAATTTTTTACTAACCTGTATTATATGTGTTTTTTGGGATATTCAATTTAAAGTATTTTTTGTTGTAAAATGCAACATGAACTACGTATGCAATTACTATTTGCACGCTCAACCACATTTGACCATACAAGTGTTCTTTTTTGCAGATGATCGGACGGTCAAAAAGTAGTTGAGCGTGCTAATAGTTGTATACATGTAGTTCATGTTGCATTTTTTTTTTAAAAAAAAAAAATTATATTGAAAATCCCAAAAACACGTATAGTACATGTTTGAAAAAATTATTTAACTTTTAGGAATAATGTCAAAACCTAGTTTCAAGCTATGTAAAATTGATGTACTAACTTATAAAGTATTTCAAAACAAATATTCAATTAAGAGAACAACCATGGATAAACCAAACCCAACATTAAAAATAATAATAATAATAATAATAATAACATCAACCATATTTCTTGAAAAAAATAAATACTATGCAATATATATTTCTAAAGTTAAAATACCATATATATATATATGAAATGAAAATCATACGATTTTCTTTGGATGAAATCAATCAACATTTTTCAAAAAAAAAAAAAAAAAAA